AGGATCACATCAAAGCCACTATGATCTTTTGTGCCCATAATAGCAAAGAGTCAGTGCACATTCAATGGTAGACTGCGAACAGTCATGGAAGCACATCCTTTGATCCAAACTGATACCCATCCTCATGTCTACTCACTGGTTCCTGTTTGCATGTGCCACAATCAAACTAAACATTGGCTACTGCTCCCTCTGCAACTCCAGTCTGGCTGGTTTCAGGCCATTCTTAGGAATGATGCAGTTGAAACCAGTCTTCTTACTTTGGTTCGCCTAGGGTGGCCAACTCCAATTTCGCCAAGGTCCAGGTGTTACTATTTGGGTTGAAACTTTTTGGAAATAGCGGGGGTGACCCATTATTGGTTGAGGGGAACCATAGCTGTTGGAGGCAAGAGCGGGATCGGTTCGGGAAATGCCAAACTACCATATGGTGGAAGCTCCTTGGGGTTGGGATCAATGTTGGTACATTCAACAAGTTGAGAACCTAGATCCTAGGATACCTGGGAGCGAGATCCCATGTCCCTAGGATCGAGGTTTTGATTTAGAGGGATCCAAGTTCCACATACATAAAACAAGATCAATTCCTGCTAGATCCATTATCATACACCTAATCTTATTAACCATACCATAGTTATAGTACTCCACTTTATTACAATAATACAATTTAATAACATCATAAATTGGCTTTTTATGATATTAGACTGTGGTTTTGAATATCATAATTCTAGTATACCACGATGTGATATGCACCAGAATTTAACATATTTTAAAGAAATAAATATATAATACCAAGGAGAAGAGCAATAGTTCTATTAATAGTATAACTTCTCTCATACCGAGATCCCATCTTTTAGGGAATGAGATCCCCATTTCTTTAAACCCAGCTCCCTCTAAGATCCCTTTGAGGAACCGCGGGATCGAGTTCCTAAGGTGGGACCTTAGCCCTATCCCCAAAACTATGAGGGGATCTCTCAAACTGTGTGATAAACTAGGCAAAAACTTCAGCACCCTGCCTTTGGAGATTAGGATCGACTTTTGGGCAACTCTTCAAGATGTGTTCTTCCAATCAAGTACCTGTTAAACTCATTTGTTGAGAGGCGATTTCTCACTGAAATACACACTAAACAAATTTTATAGGAACAGTATACAAAGAGAGACCATTTACTTTTGGTATAAGGAGGTCATAACCACTCTTGTGCATCCTATTTTAAATTGAGTAGTTATAAATGTGTTATTGACTAGACTCAAAGTTCCAAAAAAATTTCTCGAACTTCGTAACACTCCCCAAGCCATCCATTTTGACATCTAATGGTTGGGACTGATTGTGATCTCCTTGTAACAATGGTAAACTATCTCATAGTATAAAATCCCAATTTTATATACGACCTCTTTCTCGAGCGTTTAGAAACATGGCCAATTCCATTGGGACTCAGCCAAGCCAATTGGGCTCATCACCCCCTCCCCCTCTTGTGACTATACTTGGCATGACTTATTCGAGCCTATTAGAGTTTGAGTTTGTCAGGGACATAGCGTTCTTCTGATAGATTCTCTGAGTCTATCATTATCTGGTGAATCAATATTTTTTTTCCCCAAGAAAAAGGGGAGGAAGTTTGAACATGACCACTCCGCCCCCCCCCCCCCCCCAACCACACACACAAAAAAGACCTCATTTCTCTTCAGCCATACATTTGATCAAGCCCAATGTTTTCACATGATCAATCGATTGTATAGATCAGATTTGAGAAGAAAAAAGAGATAAAATATGTTGACCTAAATGTAGGTCAAATTCGAAGAGTCCTGATTTCTTCACAACTATTGCTCAATCTTGGATGAAATTTGTTACCTAAGGATATTTACGTGCTCTTTATTGAATCATAGGCTTGTTTCTTACAAAACCACTAAAAATCTCACATTTGTTAGATTTTTATTTCGAAATATTAGTTACCTAAAAGTTTCAAGAACTCGGATCAACTAGATCTGAACTCGAAACCCAAATCTGATTTGGGGTGTTTGAGAACACTTTGACAAAGATTGGAGAGGTTGATTCACATTAGAAGATGGACTTGAAACTTTGGGTGATTTTCAATTTTTCATTTTAAATTTAAGTAATTGATTTTATTTTTTTATTTTTCCTAATTTTTCCTGATTCTCTAGGAATTTCCCCCTTTTTTGGGCATTTTTTATGGCAATCTCAGACAACTCTAGGGAACTCACTAAGTGCATTTGCCACTTGCCAAACTGAGGTGATACCAGGCTTTGAGTTTCAGGAGCAACGTTGATTTTGCCAACACTAGTTCATCTCAAACTGCACATAACACAGAGTTACCATCTAAAAAGTAAAAAGAGAAAGCTATATGAGCTTACAGAAACTTACTTTTAGCTTGAAACCTAAACACTACAGATTCTCACTTTTGGTGAAATCTATGTGGATTCTTGGAATTTGAACTTGGCTTTATCTCATATCCATTGTTTATGTACATTTTTATCAATCTAGAGCAATATGGTTTGCTTAAAGTGGCAAGTTCCTCTTTGGATGAAACACCATACCTTCCTCCAGATTATATATTGAACCAGAAGTTTCAGCCTATTTGATGTGAATTACATTAATTAATGAGTAGAAATGTGCGAGATATTTGTGGAAACCAATGTTCAATAAGTCGGAGGTGGTGTGGGGGGGGGGGGGACTGGGCCGCCTAGACGGGCTCCCAAACCCGAAGGCAACTACTGGTTTTTTTTTTAAACTTGGATTCCCCACACCTCCCCCATTTATTGTATATACTATATAATAATAACGAATTAATACTATTTTTTTGGTTTACCAATAAATTAATTACTTTCACATGCAAAAAGCATTTTCAATAAATTAATAATTACTGTTGCATACAAAAAGCATTTTAAAAAATTAGTAATTACGAATTAATTCTATCTTTTGGTTACCAATAAATTCATAAGTAATGTTATATGCAAAAAGCACTTTTGATTAATTAAGTATTATAAATAATATTATTATTTTTCCAATAAATTAATAATTACTATATGCAAAAGTTATTTTCAATAAATTAGTAATTACAAATTAATAGTATTTTTTTTGTTTCCCAATAAATTAATAATTAATGTTACATGCAAAAAGCATTTTCGTAGTTATTATTTTTGGGTTCCTAATAAATTAATTACCATCACATGCAAAAGCCATTTTCGATAAAAAAAAAATTGAAGTTGTTTGACTTTGGCATTTTAGATAAATTAGTAATTCTGAATTAATACTATTTTTTGGCTTTTCAATAAATTAATAATTAATATTACATGCAAAAAGCATTTTTGTACGTATTATTTTTGGGTTCCCAATAAATTAATTACTATCACATGCAAAAAGCATTTTCAATAAATTAGTAATTACAAATTAATACGATTATTTTCATTTTCCCAACAAATTAATAATTAAAGTTGCATACAAAAAGCATTTTCGTAATTATCATTTTTGGTTCCCAATAAATTAATTGCTATTACATGCAAAAGGAATTTTCGATAAATTAGTAATTACGAATTAATATTAATTTTTTGGTTTCCCAATAAATCAATAATTAATGTTACATGCAATAAGTATTTACGATAAATTAATAAATATGAATTAATACTATCTTTTCGTTTATCAATAAATTAATGATTAATGTTACATACAAAAAGCATTTTCAATAAATTAATAATTACAAAATACTATTTTTTAGTTTACGAATAAATTAATAATTATTGTTACATGCAAATTACGAATTAATAATTACAAATTAATTATGATATTTTCAAGGCGGTGCCTAGGCGTCTGCCTTTTACACCGCCTAGGAGGGCGCCTAGGCAGCTGACTAATAGTGTCCGCCTTGACCACGCCTAGGTGTTTTCTCCAAAAGTCTGCCTAGGCGGTTGGACAAACGACTTTCTGAACATTGGTGGAAACCCAGCCTAAACTGGGGTGTCAGAGGGGACAATTTGTAAAATAGGCTTTAAGTAGATTACTATGAGAAATTGTGGTGGACATGGCAAAACAATGTCCTTTCTTAATGGTTACATGTGTTTGAATTGCATTTCTATGTGTAAAACTTTACAAGTGTAGTGAATAACACTAACAGATTTGAAACCCCAAAAATCTGAGAAAAGGGAGAGGACCTTAAATCTAGCAAAAAAAAAATGCTTAAGAGACATGCACCATGCAAAAGCTTCTCAAGAAGCACTTCAGATAAAAATTTTCTCCAAATATACATGTGAATAATCACAAAAGGTGCAAGGTAAATGTTTTGGGGAATTGCCTTGTAAATACTCAGGCAAGATTCTCATTGTGCCATCATCACCCCTGTTACAGTTTATCTTAGTCATTACCGAAAACTTAAAGAGTGAAATTTGGAGAACCTTGTAAGAAGCCCGGACCTTTCCACATATTCGCTTCTTGCTACTCTCATCTTGACTCTCTTGCCGAAGTAATGAGGTCTTTCACTAGTTCTTTTGAGTTGTAGGATTGATCATAATTGTTGTATGAGAGGCAATAACTTGTACTATTAGATTGCCTTCAGTGCGGTAGAACCCTTTTTATTTTCTTGACTATTGTGACTGAAATTTTCTATGAGGTTGATACTTGCGATGCTTGAAGATTCTTTGGAAACGAACTTTCAGTTATTTTGTCAATAAATGCTTTAATATGCTGGCTGGAAGTTATTCACATTTCTACTGATTAATTTGTTGGGAATGCCTTATTTTGGTTAGTTACTTGGGTTGAAGCTCATGAGCTGATATTATGTCTACATTTTGGAATGAACTCTTAATGGTATCTGTAAATCATTCTCTCTCAAAAAAAAAAAAAAAATCTGTAAAGCAATTTGGAACTTTTTTATTACAATTAGTTTGGAATATTTTATCTGGGCCTTCTTGTTTAATATTTTTAGGGGCATTGTAGGTGGTTCATCTTTTCTAAGATTGTTGTGCCTAAGAAGCTGATGAAATTTATGTTATGTTTTTGGCAGATTCAGGTCATCACTGGAAGATATCACACTCTTTTGCTCGATGGTTATTCTGTTTACTCTTGTGGATCCAGCTTGTGTGGAGTTCTTGGTCATGGTACAGTTGTTACACAATGTGTATCCTTGAGCAGAATTAGTTTCCCTTGCAAATCACGTGTAATCCACATGTCTGGCTCCCACAACCATGCAGCTTTTGTAATGCAGTCTGGAGAGGTTTGTTGCTTTCATTGTAGCACATCTTATTGTCCTCTATTTGTATCCTTGATGAGTGGTGACAAAGTTGTGTGAACTGTGTTTTCAATTCAGGTGTTTACTTGTGGAGATAATTCTTCAATTTGTTGTGGTCATGGAGAAGTGAGGAATGCCATTTTCCGGCCTACACAAGTTGTAGCGTTGAAGGGAATTCCTTGCAAGGAGGTATGGTGTAAATGATGGTTGTGAGTTGTACAATATTTACCATGCACACACTCACATCAATCTTAAGGTCATGAAAAGCTTTAGATGCATGGTGAGTTAGTCGAAGAATTCCAAATGTAATTCAATTATAGGCATGAGTTCTTCGAAGAGAAGCACGATGTGACAAAATTTTATTGAACACCTCTTTAAGATGGAGCTAAATTAAGCTAAACACGACTTGAACTAGTCGGGGATTGCTCACATGCTAGGTCATTACCACCATAAGAAAATTGTACTATTATACCCCTACTTCTGTAGATTGAAAATTTAGCTGTGTTTTAAATATCTAAAGGAAAAGTTCAATTGTGTTCTATGCAGTCCTCATGGTTATAGTGCTAATACGGAACTCACCATGATGAGGTAGTGTGATAGTGTGGTCGATCTTAAATTGCCACTTATTTCAATAGTTCATCAATTTTTTTGATCCCACATTAGCATCTCTCTCTGTTCTTTTTCAAAAACAATTAGATATTTTTGTTAAATATGTCCATCTTTACCTTCCTTCTCATCAAACCATTTTGTCCTTTTCTGTTTCTCGTCTCCCCTGACAACTTTGTCGATATCCACCAAGTATGTAGTCAATTATCTGACTTACCAGAAGCAAAAAACTACTTGCTTTGATGATGACCTCCTCATATTATTCTGTTGTTGATTATATATGCGTCCTTTTCCAGGTCGCAACAGGCCTCAATTTTACAGTGGTCCTGACAAGGGAAGGCCATGTTTATACATTTGGAAGTAACATTCATGGCCAGCTCGGCCATGGTGACATTCTAGACAGGCCTACCCCAAAGCTCATCGAAAGCTTTGGAAATCTTGGACGTGTAGTTCAAGTTGCTGCTGGCGCATCATACACTTTAGCTGTAACTGAAGATGGCACACTTTATTCATTTGGATATGGTGCTAATTTCTGCCTTGGCCATGGTGACCAACATAATGAGTTGCAACCCCGAGCTTTGCATTGGTTCAAGAGGAGAAATGTACACATACTTCGTGTTTCAGCAGGTGATGAGCATGCTGTTGCCCTCGACTCAAGTGGATATGTGAGTATTTTGTCTGCGATTCTACTTGAGTAAAAGGAGGGAAAAGTATATGCTATGAAATTTTTTTTTTGTGTGCGCGTTTTAGTGTACGGAAGTACTCTTCATGTTAATGGAAAGTCTAGAATTGTAGGGGTTCATCACCATCCAATTGATAGGTGGTTGGTGAGGGAGATAGAATCGAACCAACCATTAGAGAGTCATGTCATGAATTGCAACAGTTCATCACCATCCAATCAACGGGTGGTTGGTGAGGGAGGTAGAATCTAACCAACCATTAGAGAGTCATGTCATCTTTCGGTCCGCTATCTCTGAAGTCTGAATCGCTGACCAACAATTGATTGGACAGAGATGACCTCCATGGACTTGAGGCATATGGTATACTTTTCCATAACGGGATATCATTTAATACCAATCACTTTATTTGAAAAGAATTGAAATATCACTGGTTTAATTTTACTAAAATGTTAAGTGTAATACTTAGTATTTAAAAAAATCACAGAAGCACCACTGCTTCTTTGAGAAAGAATTTGTTGAAAATTTATATATTGGAGTGATGAATCCAAACTTATAGAGACATAATGTGAACCAAGTGTTACCTCTACACTACATTGTGCCTGTGTATGTGTAGTTGAGAGATTGTACATGAGTGGTTGTGTTTAATGTTTCTACCTAAAGTTTAATGAGTGTGTGTGTGTGTGTGCTTGTGTAGTTGTGTTTAATGTTTCTGCCTGAAGTTATATGATCAGGTTATTTCTTTTAAAAAAATTTATCTCGCTGCGTATTTTGTAGCCTCTATTTTGACAATGAACCTTCATAAAAAAACATGAAGAAAAAAGAAAAAAAAAAAAGAAGAAGAAGCTTTTGCTTTAATATAGAAAAATAAGATTTGCTTTCTTCCTTGCACTCTTTTTACTCTATGACCTGCTATGTGTTTCCAGGTATATACATGGGGTAAAGGTTATTGTGGGGCACTGGGCCATGGGGACGAGAATGACAAAACCACTCCTGAGCTATTGACAAGCCTTCGGGCTCATCGTGCAGTCCAGGTCTTGCATTATAAACTGGCTTTTATATTTTCTTTTTAGTAATTTTTTATTCTTACTGTGTTGTATTTGTTTGACTTGTGCCTATGGGGAATGCCAGTAAATGCCTGAAATATGTTGAGTAGGCCTACAAGTTCCATTGCCTCTGCCGAACTGTTTATGAAACGTATAATTGAACTTTCAATTTGAAATACTCTCTCCCTCTCTGAACCTTTTATGTAGCTTATAATTGAACTTCCTCTCTCTCATAACTCTTCATGTAGCTTATAATTGAACTTCCTCTCTCTCATAACTCTTCATGTAGCTTATAATTGAACTTTCTATTTAAAATACTACTCTTTCTCTCTCTCTCTCGCTCTCTCTCTTTCTCTCATATTACTTGAAATGTTGAAAGGTTTTTGTGCTCTGGTATGTAATACAGGTTTGTGCAAGGAAGAGAAAGACATTTGTTTTGTTGGATGATGGGTCAGTTTTTGCCTTTGGATGGATGGGGTTTGGGAGCCTGGGCTTCTCGGACCGAAGCAGCTCGGACAAAATAATGAAACCACGGGTCCTCGAGACCCTCAGAGGCCACCACATTTCACAAATTAGCACAGGCCTTTACCACACTGTGGTGGTCACAAACAGGGGTTTGATCTTAGGGTTTGGGGATAATGAGAGGGCTCAACTTGGGCAGGAGTTCTTGAGAGGATGCTTAGAGCCTATGGAGATCAAAAGAGTAGATCAGGCGGATGTGCTAGGTATCCAATGAAGGTGAGTCTCTCTGTAGATTGTGATGTATCAAAAGTAGTATTTGTTTTATTTTATTTCCATGTGTTTACAAGTGACTCTTATTTTCCAAGTTTGGAAATCTTTAGTTTGAGATTCAGGTGTTTTATACATGTATAATTGTTGCATCTCCTGCTGAAATTGTAGCAAATACAGGTCACATGTCTTGCAGACTTTTCCACTTTTCTTGTTTGAACTATGTATCCATTTTTTCATGTCATATGGAGAGAGAGAGAGAGAGAGAGAAGGAAGTTGTTGGATGAGATATGATATTTTTTTCTAATGTTAATTTGGGACCTGATGAGAAGGAAACTCTAGACGTCATGTTCTGGACCCTAACCACCTTGACCACATCCGCATAGAGCATGTATTCTATAAGAATCAATTTTCTTGGAGTCATTAATGATTCTGGGTATTACCATCACTTTCTAGAGAGGACTTATATTTCTGTTGTTCTACTCTTGTATGTGCATCACCAAGGCATGCTCCCTTCCTATAATTTTTATCCCTTTTTCTTGATTTTTTTTATTCGCTCTTCTCCTTTCTCTTCTGTGCGACACTCCATCATCTCTTGAAATCTTGATGTGCATAGTATATTTGTGGTCATGTATACTAAGCTCGAGCAGGAGAAGATTTCACATTTGTTCCTTGAGGCAAAAGACCCACTTGGGATTTTTTTTTTATTTTTTTATGTCAAAATTTTGGTAGCCACTTTAAAGTCACTGGAAATTTTAAAAAATGAAAAAAAGAGGATTTTTATCTCTTGCCCAATCGAAGTGTCCTGTGTTCAATTCTAGGGCTTTTAGACCCTAATAGAGTGCATATCACTTTTTCTCTTTTATCTTTAGGTGGCTTGCTAGGTTTAGTAACTCACAGGCGCAAATTTTGGGGTCCTAATTCTCTTTGGGGAGTTTTTGAGGGATCAATTATACATCGTGCTCCCACTGAAATGGAAGTTGGAATAGAGATGGAATGGAAGAATATGAATGACCATGTCATACGTATCTTAGCTCTCTGTGTGGATATATTCATCTATTTTGTTTGCAACGAATCGGATATATATGTCTATTTATGTGTGCATGTATACATATACACATATATGTGCATAAGTTTACGCGTATGCAATTTCGCACTTGTGTGCATAGTGGAATAGTGGAACAAGATTTATATAATTGACTCCAAATAATGAGGATAAGGCTCCGACTATGATGTGCACATGTATATTTAAAAAAGAAAAAAAAGAAGAGAAGATGATGTGCACGAGGAAATAAATGGATCGACTTCATGTTTATACCGATGCTGGAATTTATTTTTCTTTAGAACTTAGTAAATAACATTTACCATATATATAGAAGTGTGCATGTGCATGAGTGACTGTGCATGTGTATATATACAGATATATGTATAGTAAAACATACACATACATAGGTGCATTATGCATATTAGTCTACATGTCTATTAAGCACCAGTACATACATTCAAATTACGAACATGTGCGCATATACATCCATATACCCATGTGCATGTGTAATATATAAATAGACATATATAGATAAGTGTACATTTATATGAATGATTAATAGAATAAATTGGAGGAGAATAACATTAAGTTTGTGCACATATTTTAATCCCTAGATGGAAAAATGAGAAGATATTTGATGATTTATGGTCAAAGAGTATCGCCCTTGATAAAGTGGAATGGGAGAACATGATTCGTGCAACTGACCCAATTAATTGTATATACGAGTGTCTATAGCTTATCAATGTGAGCTTGCATACGTATATCCATGTACACATGTAAATACATGAATAGGTATGTATATACAAGTGTCTATAGTCTTATGCACGGTTATCAAAAATTGTTTTTAATTAAATTAGCTAAAAAATAACACATTAAGAGTGTGTGTACAGCCGAACCTAAATAATTAAAAAAAAAACTATGATGATGATGATCATGACAATGATGACATACATACCAGCACACCCATGTCATACTCAGTTGTATGTTGTGAAAGTAAGTTGACTCTTTAGTATGTATATACCTTTTTTTTTTCTTGGGTATGTATGTATATATTTATATGTTGTGAAAGTAAGTTCAGAGTTCAGACTCTTGGGTATGTATATACGTATATATTCATGTATGTACGTATATGTGTTTTCGTGTGCAAGATGCCTATTTATAGATGCATGAACACATTTCGTAAAAATCCTGGACCAATGGTGACGATGATGCATAGACGCACATTTATATACGTTACATAACTCTAAATGTCTACAAATTATGTATCATATATCCTTGTATATGCGTAAATATATACCCCAAGTGTCCACGTTTATAAGCATGATTTTTCAAGTTTATTGTTTATTAAATAAGAAAATAAATAGCACCCACGTGTATATACATACGCACATGTGTACAAAAAAGAGAACAAGAAATAGAGAGATTATCCAATAAATAGATTAGATAAAATATATAGCATACATACACACACATACAAGTATATTTGTTCGAGGTAAATAACAAAACTCTCGTATAATGCGAGTGTGCGCATACATACATGGTGGTTGTTACTTTGCAAATTTTAATTACTATTAATAACAATATGTATAAATATGGACACTTAAATGTCTATCTATACACGTTCACAAAGCTATATATAGGAAAAATATATAAAGAGAAGAGACCGTTTCTTTTTAAATGAAGTCACAATTATTCTTCACTATAAAATTTTAAATCGAGCAGTTGTGAATGTATCATTCATTAGACACATTTCAGAAAATAATTCTCCAACAGTGTGCCACTCCAAGCCATTAAATTTAACATCTCTCGTCAATAGCAATTGCAACCTCCTTGTACCAATATAACTGGTCTCATTGTACACAATC